GAGCGGCCACTGCACTCCAGTCTGGGCGACAGAGTGATACTCCAACTCAAAAAAAAAATTTTTTAAATAAAAATAAAAAAATAAAACAGCATGTGCATACATTATAAATAAGAAACACATCTGCCTCACCTAAAGTGAATGTGACCTATTTTGGCTGTTTTTAATTGTAGACCCACTGCTCGTCGCAAGCCAGATTATGAGCCAGTTGAAAATATAGATGAGGCCCAGAAGAAATTTGGCAACGTCAAGGCCATTTCATCAGATATGTACTTTGGAAGACAAACCCAGGCTGACGTAAGGGTCTAGAGAGTTTCTATGGGGTCCCATACAGCAGGAAGGAAGCGTGGATATAGGCATTGTGGTGGGTGGGTACCCTGAGTGAGGCTCAGGCAGCCAGAGGGCCCAAGGCCTGAGAGTACTGGAGCTAGGAGGACTTGAACCCAGATCTGATCTGTCCAACTGATTCCCCTTCCTGCTGCCTAAGTGAGAGGAGTGCTTAGGGACTCCTCTAAGGCAAGGACTGTGTCTCATAGTTCTCTTGTTCTTTTCTCAGGGTTCTGAATGGCTATTAATATCTTTTGAATAAATTCAGACCGTAAAAAAAATTAAATAAATAAAATATATGCATTTTTAATAATAGGAAAAAAAATTCAGACCATTTTTGATGCAGCTGTAATTGATTTAATAATTGTAACCAGAATTAAATGAAGCACGTAGATGTGTTTTTGAGGTGTAGATATATATTCTTCAGGTTGTTGCCTTTTCTCAGAAATATTAGTTAACCCATCTTAGTGGAGTCTTGCTAAACTAAAACTGAAGTAGAAGTTCAAGACCCAGCCGGGCTCGGTGGCTAAGCCTGTAATCCCGTGCCTTTGGGAGGCTGAGCGGCCACTGCACTCCGGTCTGGGCAACAGAGTGAGACTCCAACTCAAAAAAAAAAAAGAAGTGTAAAGCTTTAAGTTTCCCCTTGTATTCTGAAGTGCTAGTGTCATATGTAAAAGTCTCGGAGTCATGTATCATTACTAGGCTTCTCAGACTTACGGAGATGATTTCCTAAAGTGTGCTGAGTTATTTTGCAGCCGTAGAACTTTCACTATCTTTTTAAAAATAAGAGTTGCCTCTTGGCTCAGCCCCTAAAATCTGCCTTGCTTTCAAGTTGATGGCATTCAAATTTAGTTACAAAATAATATAATAGACTTGGAAGACAGCTTCTTAGAGTGGCCTTTCCTAACAGCTGTCTGGAAGCAGCACCAGAAGACAGATGCCATTCTACCTCCCTCATTGGCCATGATGTATTTTGCTCTGTCTGCCTGTGACCTGTCTTCTGTGCCGAACATGAACTTTGTGCCATTCCCCGGGACTTGGCTGTGGCGATGACATTCAGTAACTTTTTTTGGTTTTGTTTTGTCTTGTTTTTGAGTAGGAGTCTCAATCTGTTGCCTAGGCTGAAGTGCCGTGACACACTCACGGCCACCACAGCCTCCACCTGCTGGGCTCAGGCGGTCCTTCCACCTCGGCCTTCCAAGTAGCTGGAACCACAGACGTGCGCCACCACGCCCAGCTAATTTTGTTTTTAATTTTTTTGTAGAGACAAGATCTCTCCAAGTTGCCTAGGCTGGTCTCTAACCCCTGTGCTCAGGTATTCCTTTTGCCTCCACCTCCCAAGATGCTGGAATTACAAGTGTGAGTCATTTTGCGCCTGGCCAGCTTTCAGTAACTATTGAGAGGGAAAGCCTAGGGGACAAACACATTCAAATGATAGCTCTTCTGTGATTCTTTTTGCAGTACTGTTTATGACATTTGTAACCTAATGTTTTATTTTCCTCATCTTCTCTAGTATGAAACCAGGGCCCGCCTGGAGAGGTTGTCTGCAAATTCCTCCATAAGCTCAGCCGATCTGTTTGATGATCAGAGGAAGCAGACAGCAGGTAATGGGGGCATGGGTGAGAGCTGTTCTCTGTCATCGTCTATGGCACACATTTCTTCTAGATAGAACTTATTCCTTTTCCAAGAAATTTTAGCTGTTTTCTGAGTTCAAAGAGAAACAGCCTCAATAGGAAAAATCTGAATGTCTGGGACCCTCTATATTGAAGTTTGGGGAATATTAGAGACCCATTGTGGCCCTTGGGATGCAGTGGGCACTGCCAGGCTGCTGTACTATAGTGGGAGGGAGAATCTAGCACCTGGTGAGCCAAGATAATATGCTAGCAGAGTGCCTGGCAGAGTGGACAGCCAGTGGGCAGAAAAGCAGGTAAAACAAGGAGCCAGAGTGGGCAGGCTCCAGTACGTCTGCTGCTGGAGCAGGTGTGGCTGCCAGGGGACCGCCAGGGCCACAGCTCCCGTGAGCTACTCTCTGGGCAGAGTATACCCTGTGCCTCACCTCCTGACTTCGAGCAGAGGGGACTTGTTACTGAGGCAGAAGGATTGCCGGAAGCCGGGCTCGGTGGCTCACCCTGTAATCCCGCGCCTTTGGGAGGCTGAGGTTAGTGGATTGCCTGAGCCCGCGGGTTCGAGACCCGCCTGGGCAGGCGAGACCTCATCTCTACAATAAAGCAAAAACATTAGCCAGGCGTGGTAGTGTGCACCTGTAGTTCCAGCTACTTGGAAGGCTGAGGCCGAAGGATCGACGGAGCCCAGCAGGTCGAGGCTGCGGTGGCCGGAAGCGGCCACTGCACTCCAGTCTGGGTGACAGAGTGAGACTCCAACTCAAAAAAAAAAAAGATTGCCGGAGCCCAGCAGGCTGGCGCTGGGGTGGCTGTGAGCATGCCACTGCACTCCATCCTGGGTGACAGAGTGAGACTCTGATGCAAAAAAAAAAAAGAAAGTCCTGTCCTTGGGTTAGAGTGTAACTCCTCACCCAACACCCACCTTTCCCATTTACTGTTTGTGGCCTTTTCCAGCTGCACTAAGTCTGGGAACCCTGAGACCAGAATACTCCTCCCACCATTCACCCAGACAACCCAGGTAGGGTCCCTCTGTATCACCAGGCTGAGGCCATTTGACAACCACTCCCCTGACTGACCATGAGTTATTTGGGGCTAGGATCTGTCCCTTTCCATTTCTATGCCCTTGGCACTTGATAGCCTGGCAGAGGAAGCTGCAAGAGTTTATTGAACAAATGGATGGATGGGTGATGAATGAACCCAGGAGCTCACTGAGTCTGGGATCCTGCCTATCAGCCACGCAAGAGCCATGGGCTCGTCTTCCAGCACAGGCTAGAAATAAACCTCCCACCACTCCCACCTCATGGTCAATGCTAGGCTGCAGTGGTGATGTGTTCCACTTGTAGCAGGAGCTTTAACAGCTAGTGTGTGTGTGTGCTGCCATATTTTTTCCTGTTGTGGTGGTCAAGAAAGCTTGAATTAAGAGTTGGCCCCACGGGCCTGGATCCCAATTGACTGTGACGAGCTGAACCTTTCTGCTGACCCATGCTGGACACAGCAAGTTTCAGTTGCGGTTGTTAGCACAGCATCACCTAGCCCGTCCTGATTGATATAGGGCCTTTGCCTCAACCCCTGACCACTGCTTGGTTTCAGCTTCTCCTCTGTCTCGGAGAGGAGCCATCATCTTCCTGGTACTCAAGCCAGAAACTTGAGTGTCATCCTTAACCTCATCCTTCCCAGCCTCCCCTGGCCAGTCAGCTAGTGCAGCCATGACACTGTCTCCTCAGGACACTCAGTCCCATCCTACTCCTGATCCCCACTGCCACCTGCTTAGGCTTGGCCATTGCCCCACACACCCGAGCCCTGCAACCCTGAAGCCATCTCCTGTCTGTCCACCTGAGTTTGCTCTGTGTCCCTTCCAGAGGACACTGGTCACATTTTAGGGATGTTAGCAGTTAACTCCTTGCTTCCCCCAATACGTGGTAAGCTGTGAAAAGGCAGGTTTGTGATGGTGTCCTCAGTACTCAGCACACTGTGGGTGTCATGGGAACTGATAGGCAGGAGAGGGGAGCCTGACCTAGTCCGTGAGTCAAGGACCCTCTTCCTGAGCAAGTGGCTGGAGCTGTCATTTCCTGAAACTCATTGTGTAAACTGGATGTACTTGGGCTGTCTGACCACTGCCACTTGTTGCCTCCAGCCCTCCTGGGCAGTTCTTGGAGGAAACAGCACCTAGATCCCGTCACTGCACTGAGCTTCCAGTCTGTCACTGGGGATGGGCTACAAAATTTTAAACAGTCCTCTGGAAGTGCAGAGAGGAGGACCTGCATGGAGACATGCTGTGGATAAATGCAGTGTCTCTTCTAGATGCTGTCTATGCTGAAGGTTAACGTGTCAATTTGTTTTGTTCTCAGAAAGGGATCTGACCAAGGGTCTCTGTTTTGTAAAGGACATGTGGTGCTGTGTGGAGTCTAGGGGGTAACTGGGCTTGGCTACCCCTGAGGGTTTGCATTCAGCTTGCAATCACTGAGCCCCTCCAGCATCTTACAAAACTGTGTGACAGAAGTTTATTATGAATCCCTGGTTGCCAACTCTGAGGGTGTGGTCAGACTTCCTTTATGTGGGATGACACTGACACTGACGAGCTTTACCTACCTGGGCAGCAATAAAGGTGATGTTTATATCAGGGTGACCCAAACGTAAGCAATAGAAACCCAACACTAGCCTGAGCAAAGAAGGCAGAAGTATGAATTTCATACCTGGGAAAACTGGCAGTGGAGTTTGGCTACCTAGTCACAGGCAGCATCAACGGGACACACTCACGCATTTGACTCATCTCCCTGGTCATGCCTCCTCTTGATTGTGACACGCTTTCTCCATCCCTCGAGCAAGGCGCAGCTTCAGTCACAAACAGCTTCCACTTTGCTTTCTCCCCACCAGTAGCCCCAGAGCAGGCAATGACTCCTCTCATTTGAGTATACTTGAATCCCAGGGAAGCCTCTGACTGGTCAGGCCTGGGTCATGTGCCCACCTATGGCTAGGAAGAAGGAGAAAGAGAGAGAGAGGGAGAGGTCCCAGAGGAAGAGAAGAGTGCTTTTTACCAAAAGAGGGAGGAAAGAGCTAGCACCGTGGCTCACGCCTGTAATTCCACACTTTGGGATACAGAAGCAAGAGAATCGCCTGAGCCCAGGGGTTTGAGACCAGTCTGGGCAACTGTGTGAGACCTCATCTCTACAATAAATCAAAAATTAGCTGAGTGTTGGTAGCACACGCCTATGGTTCTAGCTACTTGGAAGGCTGAGGTGGAAAGATTGCCTGAGCCTAGTAGGTCGAGGCTGCAGTGGCCATGACCATACCACTGCACTCCAGCCTGGGTGACAGAGTGAGACTCCTACTCAAAAAAAAAGGAGGGAGGAGGAAAGGATGCTGAGCAGAGGAGCAGAGTAAAGCCATCAATGTCTGCCCATCTACCATTTGTTGAGTACTTACCTTCCAGGGCTGTTTTAAGCACCTTGAAGAAATGGGCCCAGAGAGGGCAGTAAACTCTTCCAGAGGCACACAGCTTTGAAGTAAGTGCCAGGGTTTGAACCCATGGTGTTGTTAAGACCCCTGTACAGCCGGGCTTGACAGCTCAGCCTGTAATCCTGCGCCTTTGGGAGGTTGAGGTGAGTGGATTGCTTGAGCCTGCGGATTCAAGACCCGCCTGGGCAGGCGAGACCTCACCTCTGCAATAAATCAAAAAATTAGCCGGGTGTGGTAGCACGCCTGTAGTTCCAGCTACTTGGAAGGCTGGGGCTGAAGGATTGCTGGAGCCCAGCAAGTCAAGGCTGCAGTGGCTGGGAGCATGCCACTGCCCTCCAGCCTGGGCGGCAGAGTGAGACTCCAACTCAAAAAAAAAAAAAGACCCCTTTACTCCATTTTCTCTCATGTGAGGTCTTGCATCTGGTTCATAGCGGGGCTGGCACTTCTACTCGGGTCCTGACCCTACTGCCAGTTCCCTTTCCCTCAACCAAAGCTGCTTCTGTGAGGAAGAAGGAGGGGTAGCATCCAGGATCTCTGAAGTCACCAAACATCCAAGGTTTGTTTTGGCCACGGCAGTGACAAACTGGCATCTGTTCTGGGTACAGGGAACTACAGTCTCTCCAGCGTGCTGCCCAATGCCCCTGACATGGCACAGTTCAAGCAGGGAGTGAGGTCCGTTGCTGGAAAACTCTCCGTCTTTGCTAATGGAGTGGTGACTTCAATCCAGGTCAGTGGAACGGAATGGTACTCAGTATGGTATGATGGTGGGTCTGTTGTTTTGAAAATAAGATTTGGCCGGGCTCGGTGGCTCAGCCTGTAATCCCGCGCCTTTGGGAGGCTGAGGTGAGTGGAGTGCCTGAGCCCGCGGATTCGAGACCCGCCTGGGCAGCGAGACCTCATCTCTACAATAAATCAAAAAATTAGCCGGGTGTGGTAGCGCGCACCTGTAATTTCGGCCACTCGGAAGGCTGAGGCGGAAGGATCGCCGGAGCCCAGCAGGCGAGGCTGTGGTGGCCAGGAGCGGCCACTGCACTCCAGTCTGGGTGACAGTGAGACTCCAACTCAAAAAAAAAAAAACACACACACAAAAAAAGAAAATAAGATTGATCTTCTCTGCAATTGCTGGAAAATTTGATTGTGTATTATTTGATTTATATGTTTGCTGCAGTATAACCCAGGACATTATGAAAACCAGAAATCACAATTTTATATTTGTTTAGAATGTTCTAATTTATGACTCTAGGGGAATCATTATAGGAATTGTCATTATCATTATCTAATATTTTCCTAGATTGGAACAGAGATGTATTAAGAAGAAAATTAAAATTATCCATAATCCTACTTCATAGGAATAACTTCTGTTAATACATTGGTGTATTTTTAGTTCTAGATTTCTAAGCATATTTCTCTATACATACCTTTTTAAAATTAAAAAGAGATTATATTGTATACGTGGTTTTACATCCTGCTTTTCTCCTTGATGTTATGTTATGAGCATTTCCATGTAATTAAAATTTTGTCCAAAGGCACATTCTTTTTTTTTTTAAGTCAGTCTCACTCTGTCACCAGGCTGGAGTGCAGTGGCAGGCTGATGGCCACCGCAGCCACAACCTGCTGGGCTCAGGTGATCCTTCCACCTCAGCCTTCCAAGAATCTGGAACTACAGGCATGCACAACCACACCCAGCTACTTTACTGTAGAGATGCGGTCTCGCCCTGTTGTCCAGACTGGTCTCGAACCTGTGGACTCAGGCAATCCTCTCACCTCTGCCTTCAAAAGTGCTGGGATTACAGGCATGAGCCTCTGTGCCTGGCTAAGCCACATTCTGTTGAGTGAAAATACATATAATTTATCTATTCTCCAAGTTGAGTATTTAGATTGTATTTCAATCTTTTAAATAAGGCAAGGATGAACATCCTTTTATATAACAATTAAGGCTATCTCTTGGTGATATGCAAGCTTGTTTCCTGCACCTTCTAGTTTATGCCAAGCTATTGAAGGATTCTGTTACTAATGGAAATCATGAGGTCGAATGTGGTGGCTCCCACCTGTAATTCCAGTAGTTTGGGAAGTTGAGGCAGGAGAATCGCTTGAGGCCAGGAGTTCAAGACCAAAGCAACATATTGAGACCCTGTCTCTACAAAAATAATAATAAAAATAGGCCAGGCACGGTGGCTCAAGCCTGTAATCTCAGCACTTGGGAGGCCGAGGTGAGAGGATTGCCTGAGCTCAGGGGTTTGAGACCAACCTGGGCAACTTGGTGAGACCTCATCTCTACAATAAATCAAAAAACAAGTCAAGTGTGGTAGCGTGCACCTATAATTCCTGCTCCTTGGAAGGCTAAGGCGGAAAGATCACCTGAGCCCCAGCAAGTTGGGACTACGGTGGCCGTGAGTTTGCCACTGCACTCCAGCCTAGGCAACAGAGTGAGACTCCAATTCACTAATAAATAAATAGATAAGCCGGGCTCAGTGGCTCAGCCTGTAATCCTGCGCTTTGGAAGGCTGAGGTGAGTGAATTGCCTGAGCTTGCAGGTTCAAGACCCTCCCGGGCAACTTGGCGAGACCTCATCTCTACAGTAAAATAAAAAAATCAGCCGGGCATGGTAGCGCGTGCCTGTAATTCCAGCTACTCGGAAGGCTGAGGTGGAAGGATCGCCGGAGCCCAGCAGGTTGAGGCTGCAGTGGCCAGGAGTGGCCACTGCACTCCAGTCTGGGCGATAGAGTGAGACTCCAACTCAAAATAAATAAATAAATAGATAAACCCATTACTCAAGGGAGTAGAACCCACCTGATGTGGACTCTGCTACCTCTGAAGGAAATTCCCCTTCCCCAGGCAGGCACTGCTCTGGCTGTGGATCAGGAAGACATGGAGATGCTTCCTGCTTTGGAGAGTTTCCTCTGCTCTGAGACTCTGTATGCTGTTTTCACTGCTATTAATAGCACAGTCTTCCCTCTCGTTGACCCTGTTGTTAAAATTCAGAGCTCTTTCATGTCCCATGGACCAGCTGAGCCCACTTAGTTCTTGAAGTAGGCAACATCCCTATTTTATAGATGATATCCCTGTATTAGAGATCACTCCCTTTTTATATCCCCATTTTACAGGTGAAGAAATGGAACATAGAGAGGTTAAGTTACTTCTGCAAGATCACCAGTTGAAGTAACATTTCACGGTTTCAGACTGCAAATGTGTTCTGTCTTTCCCATCACGCTTGCTTCCCAGAGGGCTCAGCATGTAGCCTTTGGTCTACTGAGCATCCTCAGCTAACTCAGATCCACTCCCTGCCTCAATCCTGGGATAGTGGCCTTAGATGCGAGGCAGGATGTGAATCCAGTCGGCTTCCAAAGCCCACACACCCGGGAGGCTGCAGTGAGGCCTGTGTCCAGATACCTGCCTCCTTGGAGGCAGTGTTCATATCTGTTGCCAGATACTTGGTGCTCTGTGTCATTGCAGTGTCTGTTTTGGTGACACTGAACATTCAGTGTGCAGAAATGAGGGATCGATGCTGAATGTTCATAAACTTGTTTTGTTCTCGCTTTAGGATCGCTATGGCTCTTAACACTGATGTCATGATACGTGTTTCCTGGAGAAATTCCTTTTTAAGTGAACCAGTTAACCACATCACAGGCTGCAATGAAGACCAGACAGTTTTGCAGATTGTTTGCTACTTTTTCACATGGTATACATACATTTCTGATCTTTAATATTCCTTCTAAGAAGTTCTTTTTGCTGTAGTAGAGACTTTCTTGTTGCTTCCATGTCGCGTTGCTTCCTGTACACGCCCTGCTTTTGTTATACTTTGCATACCTTGCTCTGTTTTCCTGGACTCTCCAGTTCCCACAGCAAAGGGCCTGAAGATACCGGCTCCTCAGATCTACTGAGAGTCTTCTTCTGGGGGAGGAGGCGTGATCTCCATGCGACACATGGCTGAGGGCTACCAGAAGGGGCTGATGTTAGATGGGCCTGCAGAAACAACATCCACAACACACACACTTACAAAAAGGGAGCAAAGATTAAAGACAAAAGACCAAAAGTGACAGTGTCTAATCTGACAGACTGCTTCATCTACATGTCTACATATTAAGGTGATTTCAAAGCAATTTTTTAAATCATCTATCCATTTGTAAATTATTTTGTATGACCTATAAATTTTAAAATATTTTCCAGTGAGAGCTTTTAACAAGCCTAACCTTCCACATTGCCAAGGGAATTAATTTTAACTGTTGACAAGGTGTTGCTGTTTGAATACATGAGAAATGTAAGATGAGAACTCCCTAAGTGTGTTTCTAAATCGATAAAGTATACAGAATTAAAATTGAATAAGGTAAGAAGATACAGCTACAGAAATAGTTCCACTTATGGGAAAACAGTTATTGTAATTGGGTAGTTTTGTTAATATTTTTTAATCCTGGTTTTCAAAAAATTACAGAATGTGTATAAATGAATAAAGAAAAATTATTTGGCTGTGTTTTAGACAGCATTAGAATATATTGTTAAGCACAGTAAAGTATATTTGAAATTTGATGAACCAAAAATGTGGTTTTGAATGAATATTTTGTGAATCTTTCTTAAAAGCTCAAGTTTGTAGACTTCTAAATACAATAAACAGTTGCAGCAGATTGCATGGCCTACATTTTTTTATGAAAGCTTTTTTAGGCCGGGCTCAGCCTGTAATCCCAGCCCTTTGGGAGGCCGAGCTGAGTAGATTGCCTGAGCCCGCAGGTTTGAGACCAGCCTGGGCAACTTGGCAAGACCTCGTCTCTACAATTAAAAAAAAAAAATTTAACAGGGTGTGGTAGCGTACACCTGTGGTTCCAGCTACTTGGAAGGCTGAGGTGGAAGTACTGCCAGAGACCGACAGGTCAACACTGAAGTGGTGGTGAGTGTGCCACGACCCTCTAGCCTGGGCATCAAAGTTAAATTCCAACAACAACAACAAAAAAAAAACCTTTTGTAATAAATCCATTGTAAATCAGGGCTCATGGTATAACACTGATGTGCGTTTGAACAATAATGTAATTCCAGATGGATCTTTTTGTTTATTTTTTGTTTTTTTGAGTCAGAGTCTCACTCTGTCACCCAGGCTGGAGTGCAGTGGCGCTCTCACAGCCACTGCAGCCTCGACCTACTGGGCTTAGGTGATCCTTCCACCTCAGCCTTCCAAGTGGCTGAAACTACAGGCACATGCTACCATGCCCGGCTAATTTTTGGTACATTGTAGAGATGAGGTCTCACTAGGTTGCCCAGGCTGATCACGAACATATGGGCTTAGGCAGTCCTCTCACCTCAGCCTCCCAAAGTGCTGGGGTTGTAGGTGTGAGCCACCGCACCTGGCCCTGGATCTGTTTTTTTTGTTGTTGGTGGTTTTTTTTTGAGTTGGAGTCTCGCTCTGTCACCCAGACTGGAGTGCAGTGGCCGCTCCCGGCCACCGCAGCCTTGACCTGCTGGGCTCCGGTGATCCTTCCGCCTCAGCCTTCCGAGTAGCCGGAATTACAGGCGCACACTATGGATCTGTTTTTAATGTGTGTTTCAGACCTGATGCGCAGTTGCTGTGAACTGGGATATTGTTCATAGCTTAGTAACAAAGTGGAGTGTCCTTGTTGAAAGTGCATTGTGTTGGCCGGGTGCAGTGGCTCAAGTCTATAATCACAGCACTTTGGGAGGCGGAGGCAAGAGGACTGCCTGAGCCCACAGGTTCAAGAACATCCTGGGCAACATGGTGAGACCTTGTCTCTACAATAAATCAGAAAATTAGCTGGGCGTGGTAGCACGTGCCTGTAGTTCCAGCTATTTGGAAGGCTGAGGCAGAAGGATCGCCTGAGCCCAGCAGGTCGAGGCTGCGGTGGCGATGAGCCATGCCACTGTACTCCAGTCTGGGTGACACAGTTAAACTCCAGCTCAGAAAAAAAGAAAAAAGGCCGGGCTCGGTGGCTCAGCCTGTAATCCCACGCCTTGGGAGGCCGAGGTGAGTGAATTGCCTGAGCCCATGGGTTCAAGCTGGAACTAAAGGCGTGCACTACCATACATGACTAATTTTTTTTTTTTTGAGTTGGCGTCTCACTCTGTCACCCAGACTGGAGTGCAGTGACCGCTCCCGGCCACTGTAGCCTCGACCCGCTGGGTTCCAGCAATCCTTCCGCCTCAGCCTTCTGAGTAGCTGGAATTATAGGCATGCGCTACCACGCCCGGCTGATTTTTTGATTTATTGTAGAGATGAGGTCTTACCAAGTTGCCCAGGCGGGTCTCAAACCCGCGGGCTCAGGCAATCCACTCACCTCAGCTTCCCAAAGCGTGGGATTACAGGCTGAGCCACCGACCCCGGCTTTCATTTTGTTTAATATCCCTTTCTCTGTCCCCACTGTGCCTCTAACATCCATGAACATCCAGTGCCACGAAAAGCAGGTGGCTCAGGTGGGCGGGCAAGTAACAGCCTAACGGGCGTGTGTCTTGGGGCAGGATGAGAACACCACCTTTGGGTTCTGGGTCTGCCACTGGGACTGGAGTGACCCTGACCTCCTAGGGTCCCTCCCTGAGGACCCAGCCCTGCCCCCAAGATGCTGCTGCACTTGAGATGGGGCTGACTCTCCGCACTAGCCCCAATGTCCTGCTCCCAGCAGTTACGCAGGCTCGGAGCCTGTTGCTTGCACTGTGTCCTGGGATCAATTTACATGGGGCCACGTGTGTTCTCCTGCCTTCCACTCCCATCCCTGGCCTTCTGTTTGTTGTTCTTATCATTCTGCTTTCCTAGGTCCTTTGTCTTGCCTAAAACACAAGCGTAGTGGAGGGGACACCAGCTATGGGCCTGACAAGAGAGTTAGATGTAAAGGGTTCCTCCTCGGGCTCCGCTGCCCGGTGCCTGTGCTGGTCCCACCAAGGCAACCAGAGCCTGACTGAGAACACACCTGCACCCTGAACTCTGGGGGCCCCACCCCCCCTGCACTAGACATGACCTCTTTCCCAGCCTCCGGTTCCTCTCTCCCATGCCATGGCCTTCCTCCTTGTCATGTCACTAGTTTCCCTTGCCTGCACCACACTGCCCTGCTTGGGAAGGCCCCTGTTTGTACCCCAGGTTCAATTTGAGTGCGAGTCATCACTACCCAGCCATTTGCATCCAGCTTTGGAGGCACCTATGGGGACACTTCTCCCTCAAATGGGCCTCTGCAACTCCACACATCCAGGCTGCCTCCTCCCTCACCTCTTTGCCTCCCCACAACCTGTTTCTCCCATGATTCCCTGCCCAACCCCTGCCAAGCTGCCCAGGTCACCCCGCCACTGCCCCAGATCCTCCTCCAGAGTGTCGTCAGCCCCGCAATCTCCACATGATTCTACCACCACCTCTTGGGCTGGGGGGACTCTGTCACCCAAGGTTCCCTTCCTCCAGCCGAGGGCTCCCTACAGGGAGTGTGGCCTGAAAACAACACTCTCGACTCCTGTCTCTCTCCGCCCTCACCTCCAATGGCTCTTCACGTCAAGTCCTGAACTCCTCAGAGCAGCCGCAGTCCCTGAGGGTCTCCTGCCCACCCTGCCACCCGTGGCTCCAGGCCTTTCCTAGCGCCTCTGCTGGGAGGAGCCGGTTCTGAAGGTGAACAGATTCCTGGGCCATGACGGGCGCCTCACTTCATCCCTCAAGTGGAGAAGAAGGCAGTGTCCATACCCCACCTGCAGGAGTCTTGGAGTCACTGGAATATAGGGGCTCTCGGGGTGCCCGGCATGCCGTGGGCATGCCACCATGGCCCACAGGTGGATGGACATCATCAGCCCTCCATGGAGAAAGTGCTGACAGTGTGCCTGTGACATGCTCAAGTCACAGTCTGGTAAGAAGCAGGGGAGGAGGGCACCAGATTCATGCACCCATTCACGCATTCAAGCTCTCCCTCACATACCTGTCACCAGCATCCACTGCCCGGCAAGCTCCCATGGCTCTCCCCAACCCCAAGTGGAGATCCCACCCAGACCTCTGTCCTGCCACTGCCAGGTCCCTCAGGTTTTGGAAAGGCAAGTCTGACAGGATCGAGCATGGCCTTCATGCCCCCTTCTAGCTGCAAGCCCAAGGGTGGTTGGAGATGGCCCGGTTCCTGCTGAGTGGGCTTCCTTTCTGGAGGCTTTGGGAACCAATCCGTTTGGTGGTGGAATCTGGTTCCTGCGGTTGGAGGACTGAATCCCCTTCCCTTGCTGGCTGTCAGCCTGTCTCTGGCCTTACAGGTGGCCATTCCTCTCCAAGTTGACAGTGGAACATGGAATCCTGCTCACGCTTGGAAGGTCTCAGCTTCCCCTTCAGCCCTGTCTCTCTTCTTCCACCAGAGAAAGTCCCTCTCTGCTTTTGTGTGTGTGTGTGTGTGTGTGTGTGTTGGAGTCCTACTCTGTCGCCCAGATTGGAGTCCCGTGGCATACTCCAAGTTGGTCTCAAAGCCGCGGGCTCCCAAAGAACTGGGATTACAGACTGAGCCACTGAGCCCAGCCCCTCTCTGCTTTTAAGGGCTCATGTGATTACACTATCCAGACAACCTAGGATAATCTCCCTTTCTACTTTAAGGTTCATAAACTTAATTATATTGGCAACTTTCCTTTTGTCTTATAGCATAACATCTCAGTTTCCAGGGATTAGGGCATGAACATCTTCCAGGGCTGTTCCATTCCACATGACCCTTGGTCTTCCCCTTCAACGACTCTCTTTTTTTTTTTATTGAGTTGGAGTCTCACTCTGTCGCCC